CGTCCATAGTTCTTCAGGCACTCTGTCTACCAAATCTAATCCTCTAAATCTATTCATCATGTTTGGGATACTGATCTTCTAATAAAGGATGTGACTGATGTGGAAAAAAGGGCAATCCTATTAATTCAGTGAGGTTTACTCCACAGCAAATAGGTATCTATTTTTGTGTACCTCCCTTCCTCCTGAGGAAACTTAAGGGGGTCCAAGTTTAGGATTCTGGGCTAACCTGAGTGTGGTATGTTTGGCCAGTGGTTTAAATTTTCAGCATACTGCGTGAATAGTGAAAAACCAGTGTTTTTCTTATAAGTCATAGCGTCATAGAGTACATCATTACAAGTGGCTTAGGTAAGCTTTTTAAAAAACAAACCCAAACTAGACAAGGTGAAGCCTGTTGGTTCAATTATAGAATACTTTTTACCAGATTCCGAAGACAAAAAACCCCAAAAAACATAAAGCTTGTCGCCTTCATGCCCAGCTTGTGATCTTTCCGGAGACATTTGTTTAGACCCTGCATTCTGGCTGCAAAATACAGATAAACTACAGATGGATGTTTGATCTAAATCAGAAAGGCAGTCCTTATCCTTGCCCTATCTGAAAAGTACACCCATTTTATTTCCTATACCCCTCCTCTATAATTACTGTGAAACCTGTATGGCTTAGATGAATACCACTTTGCATATTTCATGAAGCTATTGTGAGCAACAAGATTTTCAAATATGGAATAAACTAGTATACAAGAAATCACTGAATTTAATATGCCACACTAGTGGAGAGATACTGTGGGAAGTGTGCTATTCCTCTTTCCATTCTGCCTACTATATGCATGGTTTAAGTCAACTGGTACAGGAAAGATTACTTGACTGCCATCTCTCCCACCCCATTGCATTGTTAACTTTGTAGATATGAATATTCTAATAATTCAGTCTCATATAATTGGACTAGACAACATGCACTCCAGTTGTAGTAAACAGTGTACTTCATATGTGATTTAAAGATAATTGGTTTTTCAGTAGAATTGGAAGGATGGCTTGTCTTACCTGACATTGCAACGATGAATACATTCAGCTCTGAATCAGTACTAAGTGCTATAAATTCATTATGTTCCCCGCTCCTGCAGTAAAGCACCTACCAGTAATCCAGATGAATTCTTGACAAGCGGGTAGGGGTGAGAAGAGGCTGATATCAGTAAGCAATTTAGATTAAACACCACATGGCACACCCATGGATTGCAATTCACCGTAACACTGTCAGCAACTAGTCTTGGCCCTAGTCAAGTTCTCTAAGCTTTCTGTATTGTGACTTAATGACCAAAACTCCAGTTCCTTGGCACTAATCATAGGCTATAATTACACAGTTGATTTTTGACCATGTCAGCATGAGAATCTGCAGAAAGGTGTCAAGGGGAACAAATGAACATGTTAACAACATGCAAGTGTCATGACGTATATACTTGCATCAACATCAGAATGCAAGTATGTAATCGTGGTATTTTTATAATAGTGTCACTGAAATTTGCTATGAATGCTGCTGCACAGCTTATCATTTCAAATGTAATATTTCACAGCATCTTTAAAGAAACAGAAAATCTACTCAGTTTGCTGATAATGATGTTGCATATCTCATGCCCTCTGGTAAATAGGAAGGGCATCAGACTCCTAAGATGGAGGAGGAGGAGGAGGCTGGCTAACACCAGAAATTTAGTTCAGCAATGGATCATACTCATTGCTGGAGTCAGAGATTCATATGTGACAAACAATCAGGGATATCATTCAGGTAACAATGATTGCCCCTTCATGCTTCAGCTAATACAAAAGAAAAAAAAAACCAACACTATGTTTGGCAGAGTAAAGTAGCCAGTACCACATATGGGGAAATGATAATCCCAATTACCTTACTAGAGTGATAAAAACCGGTGTGTTTCAGTATAATGTTCAAGGGCAAATTTAAGCCCAGTAGAACTCAAGAATGTAGTACTGTATGTGTAAGCCAAATCTTTAGGCTACAGATCCATGGGAAAACAAAAGCAGAAGAGAGAACCTTTGCTAGGAAACATCTTAGAAGGAATTTCATCATTGGCACTTTTTTCAGATGCACTACCATTGATATTACAATCACTTGACCAGTACACGAACTGACAGATAATAGGGCTCTGCTGTGGGATTGTAAGATTATCTACAGTAGAAGCAATCAGATTTCTGTAGTCACACCCAAAATGCACTATCATTTAGTATTGCTACTGAACACCTGTATCAGATGAATTGGGTGATATACTGCAGCAAGAACCAAACCCTTAGGGAGAAGCTTGAATTTGCAAACAGGTGAAAAGGGTAACAATCATAGAATGATGGACTTTTAGTGCAGCAAGAAAGAATGGAGTCACACTCCACGTTTGATTTTAAATACATAATCTATGACACAGTATGTGTGCAGTTTTACTCTGCAGTAAGTACATGAGGACTCTCTGTAAATATCATGTCTTTGTAGGAAGTAACATATATATCTTCATGTGCAAAGAGCACAGCTATGTTTGATGCAGCCAATTGGGGGTAATCCTGTTGTGTGTGCTTGTGAAGAAACAAAGGTATGTGTGCTATTCATACATAGAAAGTGTAGAGAATTGCCTATGCTGAAAAGAGATCTACCCAGAATGATTATTAGGAGAGAAATACTAAGGAGATTAGGAGAAAAGACTAAAATTGCCAGACTTTATCTGCATTGCTCAGGCAGCAAAGAAAAATGCTGGCTGTTATTGGCCATGGGCTACCTGTCTGAAATGAAACTATAGCTCTTATTACTACTAGTAGGATCCTAGTGACAAACTGTACTTTATGGTATGTTGATCTGAGAGAATAACATTCCCTGAGAAGTAAGGTAACATAGCCAGACTGAATGACATGTGCAATTTCTGGAAACAGACAAGGGCTGTATCACACACAGTAGTTCTGCCACTGTAATTCTGCAAGAAAATAACTAGGTTCTCAAAGCAGAGGACAAGCTCTTGCTCCTTGGCAAGAGGAGCTCCTGGTGCACCTGTTGCCCTTATGAAACTCAGCAGTGTTGAAGCAACATGTAAGAAAGAGCTCAAGACCAGAGGGAGTTCCATCATGCTACACCTGCCACGAATAGGGTCGCGCCCTGGCACCAAAGGCCCAGTAAAGGCAGAACAAACAACAGAGAAGATGGATTTTTTAAATAAAATAAAAAATTAAAAAGTCCTTTATTGGGTGCAGCCTGGTCCCTGTGCCACGCTGGGCCTTGGCCGAATAAGACTGCCCCTGGGCTTGGGGCGGCTCAGTCAGCATCTCCCCGAACGTCGAACACTGAGAGGTGAGGGACACGGGCTGTCCAGGCCCTGCCTATGGGCTAGGGATGGGAGCCCCATGGGGAGGGGGAAAGGGGAGGGCCAAGGGTCAGTGAGGTCAAGTGTCTGTCTATGGGTTTGGGAGGAGGGGAGGCGAGGTGTGGGGCCCTGCAGATATACCAGGGCTGCACCGCACACCTCACTGAGCTGCACTCGAAGTGGTTTTCTTCAGGGTGAAATTGGTCCAGTTCACAGCCACTTTTTGTCGGGTCTGCTTGGCTGAGTCCAGGCAAAACCTGCAATACAGGATAGGGAGGGACATAAAGGGTGATGAATTACAGAATGGAGTAGTAATTTGACTTAACTGTACAGGCATGCACACAGACACACTTCATTATCTCCCCCACATGCATACACAAACATGGGTCGTGTGTGTGCGTGCGCGTGTACTGAATGAGACATCAGGAACTTGTTAGACAGCTACTTTATGAAGAATAACAGATTTGAGACCATAGACTGACTTGTAGACTCAACAATGTGAAACTGATTTTTTCAGACATTTCCCCCCTCTCATTTAGTTCCCTACTGTTAATATTACTTTGAGTACTTCTCCTTAACAAGTACACATGTGCTTTCCCCCAGAGCTTGGGGCAGAGGTATTCTTGGCTTCAAGGTATTTATTTCTCAATGTTGCAGAAAGAAATGGTTTATGCTGCATCAGCAAGTCAGAGAAAACAAACAGATGGATCCAGTCCTCTCTTAGGCAATTAATGTGCAGGTCTCAATAGACCTCACAACTATTGCCTAAGTAGTACATTGCATGCCTACCGAACAACATCCTGAAAGAGCTGTCATGGATACCCCTCATGTTTGGACACTGATTCAGTGGAGAAGTCGATCTTCCTCAAAACCAACCTCCTCCTCTTAGACCTTCTTGACCTTTCCACAAAACCACCAGCAGCTGCCCATCACTCATTCTTCACCAAAAATAATATTTGTACATAGCCAATAATGATGCTGTTAGACCCCAATGACTCACATAGATCAGACAAAGTACTTTAGTTCTGAAACTGCATCAGAGACAATTTTGAATGGCTAAGTAGCCAGAGAGAAGATTGTTAACTGTTAGGAAATTTTGCTACAAATTTTTAACTATTCACTATGGGGAAGTAATGCTCATGGGTTGGAATATAATAATGTTGTCACTGTGTCTTCTGTTGTACTTTCTTTTTCAGGTAGGTTGCCAAATATAAATGTGTATACAGGTAGCGTTAGGTAGAAGCTTTAAATCAATATCCAGAGAGAGAGATTTTTGCTTTTGTGTTATTTACTGGACATGAACCCATTGGTGTCACTTTGTTAGGCTCAATCCTGCAGATGTTTATGCTGGCAGACTGCAAAAAGTATGGTTCGCTATTGCTTCTACTTTGGTCAATTTTTCTGTTGAATGGATGGATGGTAAGTAACATTTAGCATGGACTGCCATTCTGTGTACTTTTGTGGCCCTAACTTAAAAATGAGGGAACAAGGAGTTTATTTCAAGTTCCCATTACAGATAGTCCTTGACTTATGACCATTTGTTTAGCCATTGTTCAAAGCACTGAAAATAGTGACTGACAACCAGTCCTCACACTTGCAACTGTTGCAGTGTCCCCACAATCACATGATCAAAATTTGGGTGCTTGGCAACTGGCATGTATTTACAATGGTTTCAGCATCCCAGGGTCATATGATCGCCATTTGCAATCTTCCCAGCCAGCTTCTGACAAGCAAAATCAGTGGGGAACCACATGATTCACTTAACAACCATGTGATTCGCTTAATGATCATGTGATTCACTTAACTACCACGGTGATTTGCTTAATGACTGCCACAAAAATGTCATAAAATCAGGTGAGGTCACATGACACCTCATTTAATGACCGCACTGCTTAATGACAAGTTTTCCAGTCCCTATTGTGGTTGGAAATCAAGGACTACCTGTATTCCCTATGGTGAAATATGCTTCAAGTTTTGTTTTACAGGAACATAATAAAATGTTTCAAGTGGGACAACCTTGTATTGCGTTTCAAACCAAAAGATTTTATTTTTTATATTTTATTTTATGAACACTCTTAGAGAGTTGGTAATCAGGTAAGAAATAAAGTAATAGTGGAGATGGAAGCAGTATGTGAGAAACTGGAAGAAACTCCATGTTAATGAATTGTAGGTCCTCAAAAAACTGTAAATAAGGGGGGGGCGAAATAGGGCCGCATTTGAAAAGACTATATGATGCTTGCAATATAAAAGAATAAGCAACTACTAAAGGCTTAAAAAGTAGGAGGCAGATTGTCATAAAGGCAATAGGGAGGTGAACATTAAAGGAATAAAATACAGGCGATGTCATATGCATTGTTCAGAATGGTCTTCTAGCTTTCTTGAAGAAGATGGCCAAAAATTAACCACAGCTGATTCTTTCAATGAGCAATTATTGTCAATCTTTCCTATTTATTAACAATATATTTACCCTGCTTTTCTATTACAAGGCCCACCTATCAAAGTGCCTGAACAGGTGATGACAATACTCCATCCTGACTGACTCAGGATATCTAGTTTCATTTTAGTATGGCTCTTGGGTAGATTTGGGGACTGAAACTATTTTGAACTGGTTCCTTGTTGTGCCGCCCCAAATTAGCCATTATGGGGGAAGTTACAAATGTTACAAATGCTACCTCTTTTCTTGCTATAATTGAGTTTACAAGTCATGTTAAGTCATAATTTGTATTTTATGTATATTTATGGTTTTAATGTTTTTGTAAGTTGCCCAGAGTCCCCCATTGGGGGGAGATGGGCAGGAGAGAAATTTGATAAAATAAATAAATACATTTGTTTAAACATGGTTAGTTAGACCCAGCTTACTGATCTACCCATTAGTTAAGTTTTACAAATCATAATGGCAGGAATTACACATCAGAAAACCTAATGAAGTACACAGTGGTGTATCATGATATGTGAACTCCGTCTTGGTATAAATAGATGCATGTTTGGGCTTACTTTTCCCCACTTTTGTCTTCCTTCTTTCTTTTTCTCACCTGCCCCTTCCACTCTTCTGACAGGTTTTTCTTCTCTGACTATTCCCCACAACTTATTATTTGAGTTGATATTCCTTCTTCCACTGTGTCTTCACCACCATTGCTGACATCCCCAACATTCCCTTATTGCCTCTCCTTCCCCACAGCAGATTAGCATCCCCCCCACCCCCCAGTCTCCTAATCAGCAGCCCTTCTTTTAGTATTTGCTCTTTGGTAAATAGCAAAGCTCATCCTGCCTCCAATTCTCTCAACCTCTTCCTTTACCCTGAATAATTATTTTAGCCCACACGGGCAAGGGAAATGCGGAAGAGGCAGTGGGTATGAGGTACAGCTCTACTGCCCAGCTGTCTAAGGTAACTTAAAAAAATAAAAACTGGATTGGAGGAGGCAGTGGATATCCAGGAATGCTGTGGGATCTGTGTGGGCAGTGTTTCTGACCATCGCCTAGAAATGCTGAGAGAACATTTCCTTTAATACTAGCAATAGTGAATGAATGGACAATTGTGATCTATCATTCTTGTACTTGCCAAATTCATGGAAAAAAACCTGTCCAGAAAACGCTTCCTATCAGTATAGTAGATCTGAGCTTCCACTTCCTAATCAATTTCTTGATGCTTACCATCAGGGACCCTGCAAGGCTGGTGCACATATCAGTACGCCTTGCAAATTAATAATTTATAATAGGAAGGAACTTTCTTTTCCATTCCCCTTGAGCCAGTCTCATTCTTGCAATAGGGTTTAAACATTGTATTAAGCCATACAGGTAGTCCTCGACTTACAACCACAATTGGAACCGGAATTCCATCACTAAGGAACGTGGTCATAAAGTGAGACATCACGTGACCGCATCACTTAGCGACCGCAATCCTGGCAGCCCCAATTGCCATTGCTAACCGAGAATCATGTGTCATTAAGCGAGTACCCACCCCAATCCAAGCCATTTGGGGCTTGCTCCCTCCCAGCCCCGAGTCTCAGTAAGGTAAGGGACTGCCTCCAACTCCCTCCACCGGACTATCCCCCACCCTATCTCTGCCCTTCTGACCGCCCTGCACCCTGCCTTGTGGGGTGGCAAGCAGCCTCAGGACCATGCAGCTCCGGGGCTGCTTGCCACACCCCGGGAAGCCGCCCCAGCCCAGTCCCAGCTGCAGTCACCCATGCCACTCTGCACTGAGACCCCTGCCACCCTGTGCTCTGCTGCCCCAGCTGACTGCCGTCTTCTTGCTCCAAAAAGCCCCTTTACAAAAAGCTCCAGAGCGTGCTGTGTCAAAACACCTCTTTGCAAAAAGCTCCGAGGTGGGGTGGGGCTGGGCTTTTTCTTTGCACAGCGAAAAAAAAAGCACACCCTTCTTCCCTCCCTCTCTTTTTTCTTCCCCCACAGGCAGACTGGCCTGCTCCTGGGAACTTTGGTCCTCCAGCCGCAATAGGCAGGTAGACTGGGCCCTTGTGGCCCCCTTTGACCCTCTCCTTTCCATTTTCCATGTGTAGACTGGTCCTCCTTCTTGGCAAGCCAGGTAGACCAGTCCTGCCTTCAGCCACTGGGTGGACTGGGCCAACCTCAGCCCTCTGGAGCTAAAGCTTTTTGTCATACTGCCAAAAAAACAAAAACCAAAAGCAGCACCTGAGCAGCAGTGTGCCAAAATGCCTCTTTGCAAAAAGCTCCAGGGCTGGGCTGGGCTTTTGGCTTTTTTTTTTTTTTTTTGCAGCACAAAGAAAAAGCTCAGCCCAACCCCACCTAGGAGTTTTTTGCAAAGGGGCTTTTTGGAGCAAGAAAATTGCAAAGGTCAACTGGGGCAGCAGAGTGCCGGGCAGCAGGGGGCCAAGAGGGCATAGATGGGGGGGAGCTAGGTGGGTGGGGGAATTGAAATGCCCCTGCAGTCGTAAGTGCAGGCAGCTGCCAAGTACCCAATTTTTTATCACATGACCGCGGGGGTGCTACAACAGCCGTAACTTTGGGCACTGGTTGTAAGTCACTTTTTTCAGCTCATTTGTAACTTCAGACAGTCGCTGAATGAATGGTCTTAAGTTGAGGGCTACCTGTAATGTGGTTTGATTTAGAGCTGTGCAACAATCTAGCACTGTGAATTGTAAACCATGGTTTATAGCTTCGTATATTGTGTGCATTGAACAAATTGTGGCTTATTCAACAAACTATATTAATTTATTGTGACATTTGTATTAGATCTGCATGGCACTGATCTCCTTCCCAAGTGGAAGCTGGGGTGAAAAGACCCCAAGGGTCAGTTTTAATGTGACAAAGTCTCACCGCTTGAAGTATTCCACTTCTCTGTCAGTCTCGTCCATCTCCACACTATCCAAGTCTTTGGGCAGGAACACATCATCTAGCAATGCACAATACAAGAAAGTCAGTAATACAAAAGAAGAGTCAGTGGAGAGGATCTCCTTCTCTTGCTAGGCACAGCATAGGCTTTCCTATATTGATGCAAAATGTGTTGAAGACCCCAACCCGCAGGCCAAAAAAAAAAAATGTTTTTCACAGTTTCATTGTATTCTATTCTATGTTTGTGTCACAACAACAAACATGGCAAATTGAGATGGAAGAAAATTTTCTGGGGAAACACAAATATCCCAAAGGCTGTAAAATTCCACATAGCCCAACCTGGCTTCATGTGGCTCTCAACTTTAAATAAATGCAGAATATTTTTCACTCTCACAACTGCAAAGGAAAAGTATGAGAGTAAAATGAAAGGCAGGCTTTAGCAAGGAGGAGAAATCCTGATACCCTCCAGTTATTTTGCATGAACATCCAGAATCACTGGGCATGATGGCTGGTCCTTAGGGTAGTTAAAGGCCAAAAACATTTTGGGAGGTCCAGGTTGCATTTAGCATTAGTGTTCTCTCTCTCCTTCTCCCATAAACAATCATTCTTTTCTGTCAACACACCTTTCTTCTCCCTTGGCCACATCAGCCTCTGCCAAAACATTCCAGCCTCTCAAAATCTTACATGAAAGTATACACTAGGCACAAAAAGTATTTATAGTTTACTTCCCTGGCTCAGTAAAAGTCTCTCTAGTACAATGTTAAGATCTTTTTGTAAAGCATACTGAGATTCTAGGCCAGACATCCCCAGCCTATTATCTTGCAAGATAGGGTGGGACTGCATCTCATAGAATTTCCAGCCAAGAGGGCTAATCTGGAGAATACCAGCTTGGAAAAGGCTGCTGTAGTGCTATAAAATGTGACTATAACAAATTGTTTATACCTTTCAGGATGAAACCTAACAACTGTCCCCTTTCAGTGGCCTTCCTGACTGAACCTGCAAACATCTGGTAGCTGGCATCATCATACATTGATGGGTTTCAGGCAATACATGATGGGGTCTAGAACTGCAAGCACTGTTGTTGTTTAAGTGGCTTACCAGGTCCTAAAGAATAGCTACAGAGTAGGAAAAGCAGGGAGAAAATCTGATACTCACCAATGGAAGGGCTTGTTTTCTCCATTTTGTTCCTACTCTTCTTGCCTTTGCCCTTTGGTTGAGGCAAATCATCTGGGATGGCTATGTGGGGGAGATGCCGGTCCCCAAGCCCAGATGGAGCAGGCTCTTGCTCAGTCTGATCAGCTCTGCCTTCACCTCTCCGGTTCTTCCCATCGATGCTCTTCTCTTTGTCTGCCTTAGAGCCGCTGCAACTCCATCCCTGGCTCTGCCGCAGCCCTCTGGCACCATCTCCTTGCTCTGCATTACTACTGCCTCTTGGGGCTTCAAAAAGGTTGCCCTTGGGGGGATTCTTCTGCCCCATCCCCTTGGAGCCAGAATTATCATTAGTAGAGATAGCTTCTCCCTTCTTTGTTGAGCAGCCCTGCCGCTTACCCTTTCTCTGCTTTCCAGTGATGGGCACTTGTTCTAGCACTTCCATTCCCCTGCCTGGTGCTACCTCCTTGGATTCATGGTTAGCTCCAATCTCTTGGGGAGAGTCTGCTGGCTTGGGTGATTGAACCCAAATCATGCGAGAGAGGTTGGGTACAGCATTCAGCCTTTTCACCACACCATTTTCGGAGCCTGGTGGCGGTACTACCTCTCCAGGGCTTTCAGCCCATCGAGGACCCACCTCATTTCTCAGTAATGTATGATTATGTGGTGCATTCAGACTGAGTGGAGATAGGTCAAGGTCAATCTCTTGCAGCTCAGAAGAGCCATTGAGGTGGGAGAGTAGGTTCTTCTGTTCCAGCACAGCAGCTTTTTTGGGGAAGTCATTGACATCTAAATTGAGGTCATAGACACTGAAGCTGGCGCGAATGGAATCCTTGATGGTGTTCTTGATCTCCTGTAGTCGGCTGCTCAGAAAGCTGTTCACTCGCTCCAGTTCTAGCTGGGGCCACTCCAGAAGCTTTTCTTCAGGCAGCTCCTGATCTTGACCTGTAGGTGGGCTTCGATCCACACGCTTCTGAGCCTCGGCCTCTAGCTGGGCCTTTTCCTTCTCCTGCAATACCAGAATTAGCAGTATGAACCCATCAACAGTTTCAGCAAATCAAACAGCAACTGAAAGAGTAGCCCTGTGGTGGGGATGAAGGATAGCAGTCAGTCCCAGGCTAAAGTAGATGAATTGGCCCCTGCTTTTCAGTCTGTCAGTCTCCTTATGCAACTAGATGAGCACTGCAGCAAACCAGAGATTATACTAGGGAATTGACGCTGGAAACTAATGAGATGGCATATACAAAGTCTGTGCTATGGTAACAAACCTTAGGGAAGAGATGCACTGCCAGCAATTTCCCACAGCAATTTCCCTCTGTATACAAGTTCTGAGACTGCTACATCCCCAGCCCTAAGCTCAACTCATGACAGGGCAACATGCAGGAAAGAAGGAAAGATGTGAGCAGAAAAACAAATATAAACTTTCAAGCTGCCTGACCCAGCTCAACAGTGACTTAGGAACCCGGGTGTGAATAGTCAAAGGGCTTGCTTAATTAGCCACAGGAAAAAATCCTCAACTCATTCTAACTTCTGGTTTGTTTATATGTTAAAGAGGGCAGTTCAAAATCTGTAGCAAGAACATGAACTTTATTTACTTCGTATCTTTCCACTGGAAGTGACAGTAAAGCAGAGTTATTATATCCTCTTTGCAAAGATAGCAGAGAAACAAAGCTCTTCCCAATTATAAAGTGCAGGGATGGGAAATCACATTCCCTTCAGGGAAATTTGTGGGCTGCATGCCAGTTGCATCTAGAGCCCTTCTCTCACACACATCATTTCAGGTGAGCTGGGCTCAGGAAGAGCATAATAGTCTGATTTGGTATAATGTACCTTCATGTTTTCAGCCTCAAGAATCTCCAGATGGAGAAAAAAGCTTTTGGATTAATCCCTAAAGGGTCCATGATGCTTTTGGGAGGTCCACACGTATATTTTTTATGAAGAAGAATCTTGCTATAAGACTCAGAGTAGGCCTTACAGTATTTGCAATTCCAGTTTTTTGCAGAATTTGAAAAAAAAGGGGGAGGTTCACAATCCATTTCTAAGGAAAAAAGTTATGAGCTACTTATGTCAAACATTTTTGGTATCTTATGTCAATTATGAAAATACATCCAAGTGGACTTGTGAAGACTATAAATGCATTAAATTGTTCATTCTATCAAACCACTTATCTACCTCCATCTGTCCACGCATACACACCGAGATTCAGGGACTACTGTTTATAATTCTGAGCCAGTTCTTGTCCAAACCTATCCTCATTTGAGATTTAGCCTTCTGGAAGGCTGTAAAGAACTGCCTCTTCCCTCAGGAGCTGGGATAGGGTGAGATGGATGGTTTTCTTGGAGGCATCCAGGCTTTTATTTCTAGAGCTTTAATTGTCTTTTGGGTTTATTGCTGTTGTGAGCTGCCTAGAATTGTTCTAAGATGGGTGGCCATACAAATCTTTTTAATTTGTGTGTGTGTGTGTGTATAAAAATAAATAGCCATTTATTATGTAGTGTTCTTTTCCCATTATACCATTTTGCTAGGTGTAGGATGCTCATTTTTACCCACTCATGTGCACGTAAGCCCACCTTCTTCTTCTGCTTGTGGCGCGCACGCTTGGCAGCCTTGGCACTGTTCAGAGGCTTCGGCTCAGTGCTGTTAATATAATCCAGCAGCTCATCCACGTCCCGGTGGTCTACAGCTGGTTCTCCCGAGCTACTGCTATGCCCCAGCTTTTGAGGAAGTTCCTCTTTTCTCTTGGTCAGTCTGGAGCGCAGCTTTTCTCGGATCTCAGCATAGTTCCGGCTTGTTGGAGCAGCTGGAGGCTGTGGACAGAGTTGACTGTTGGCTAGCTATAAATCACTGAGTTGCCACCCCAAATTATCCCCAAGAGATACCACTCCCAGGATTTTTCATGTTCTCTCCTTCCTTGGCCCAGAATTTTGCAAAGGAAATCTTATCCATCTAAGCCAGTGTTTCTCAGCCTTGGCAACTTTAAGATGCATGGACTTTGACTCCCAGAATCCCCCAACCATCATTCCATGCTGGCTGGGGGATTCTGGGAGTCGAAGTCCATACATCTTACAGTCGTCAAGGTTGAGAAACACACTGATCTAAGTGTTTACCCTCAGTTCTGAAGAAATCCCAGTTGAAACACTGAGTACAAGTTACAGCAGAATTCAAAACCTGGGACAAGAACAGTCCAAGACAGAGTTAACTCAACTTGAAGAAGGCCAGCACTAGAATGAGAAAGGGAGGTGCTGTGCCTCCATTACCAGAACGGTGTCCTTCCAAGCTGTCACGTGAAGTCTAAAAGTATAGATTAGGGGTGGCTGCTGGCCGTGCTTTCACTTACCGCATTGTGGCCAAAGAACTCACAGTAGCAGCAGTCACAGAATTTCCCATCTTTCTGGGTAGTGGAGGATGAGGTGCAGGAGCTACGCTCAGAGCTGCTGTCCTCATCCTCACCAAGCCCCTCATCTGCCTCACAGGACTGTGGTGCATGACAACTTGTACCGTTTGGGAACTTATGACCCTTGCAGGCAGGGTCCCTGTGAGAGAAAGAGGGAAAAAGAAAAACAAGGTAAGAAAATGCATCCTGGAAGGATTCTCAGCTTCCAGCGGACATGCTGGATTGATGTCTACTGTCAAGAATGAGTTGGATGAATGCCAGTATATTAAAGCCCCATCCAGGTAAGACAGAAATACTGTCAGAAGGTTTGCCTGACTATGGCAGAAAAGATATTTGGGAATAGAGCAAGTTCACATCTTGGGCTACTCTTAGACTTGATTTTGTCAATGGATCCTCAAAGGTATTTGTACCTTTCACTCATTTTGATAGGTGCACAGCTACATCTCTCCCTGGAAAAGGGCAGATTCGTTATTCTCATGCTTTGTTTATTCAGATTGATTATTATAATGCATTATATGTGGGGCTGCTTTTGAAAAGTGTTCGGAAATTCCAGCAGTAAAGAACACAGTGAAATTGCTAACAAGAACTCACTATGTCCCCTCCACCAGAGAAGTTCACTGGTGTCTTCAGGCTACAGACTCTGCCCCAGTCCAACCTACCTCACAGGACTGTTATAGAGAAAAATAGGAGGAGGGAATGCTATGTATACTACCTTGAGCCCCTGAACAAAACATCTTAAAGTTGCTGAGGTTGAGAAACACTAGTTTAGGTGATGTAGTAGGATAGGAAAGACCCAAGTCCACCCTCAGACATGAATGACTTTAGGCTAATCCTTCTGTCTCTCAGCCCAACTTACCTTACAAGGTTGTTGCAGTGGGGAAAAATTAGAGGACACTGCTATGTCTACCACCTTGAACTCCTAGAGGAAAGGTGGGACATGACTCTAATAAAATAAATAAATGCTTAACGGACATTTGCCCTCACATCCACCCTGGCTACAGAGGTAGTGCAGGGGGGTAAAAAAAGATCTTTCTACCTTTGGAGTTTCCTCCCTGCCAAAACCTTTGGTTTTCAGATCATAGGCCTAGTTTTACCCAAGCGGCATAGAACCTGCTTCAAGTACTGTCTCTAGTTCTGATTGCCACACTTGAAAATAGATTCAGATACATTCAAACAGGTTCAAAGAAGGGAAAGAAAAGTAGTTGGGGGCGCAAGATTATATCCTACGATAAATAAAAGAAACGATTTATGTTTAACTGTGAGAAGAAAAGGTTGTGGGGAAATACAATCCTATCATTAAATCCATGAAGTGTGATCACCCAGAATAAAGCCAGAACATACTTTCCCTCATCCCACCATGTAAGAAGACACATGATAATGACTTTGCTGCAAGAACACAGATTTCATTTGTACATAAGAATAAATTGCTAACAGTAAGAGTGGTTCAATGATGGAGCCATGGCCTAAGGAGGCAGCCATTTCTCAGCCTGGGTAAAGTCTAAAACACTTTAAAATGGGTTCCTGCATCAAGAAAGGTTGGTTTGAATGGTCTAAATGACCCTTTCCAATTCTATGCTTATATCTGTTTGGTATTTACAAAGCTCACTTGCTGCTGCTATTCCTTCTGCTCTCTGTTACTGCAACCCATTACTGTTCTTTTTAATTGTGTTCAACAAAGTATATGAAATTGTGAGTCACCTTGGACATTTGTATGGAAAGATACAATGCAGAACCCTCTAATAACCTCCATTCATATTCCTCCAAAGGATGTGCAAAGTTCCATATCCTGGTTGTAAAAAGTACAAATTTTCTCTTGGAATGTGCCAATCCAACCATTCTGGAGTAGCTTATCATTCTGTTTTTTTACTCAGACACTACAAACCACTTCCTGTTCTGGAATAATAATTTTCAGTTCTGGTACAAATAAAATCTTCTCCAGTTCTAGTACAAATAAAACAACATCTAGATATACCTAGAATTCCTTTGAGTATTTGGGACAAGAAAAATATGATGAAGACAAATCAACTCCAAAGTTGATTTTTATTTTAAGAGGTTTTTCTATTTTTACTCCTTCCCTTGTTTTAAGCGAATTTATATACTACTAAATAATATTTTGAGGGCAGGATCTTCTTTTGAGAGTCTTACTCCATAAATTACATTTGCCTGTTGAGAAAGGGATATTGGGATTTAATTTTCCACATTTTCAGACCTATCACTGAGCATTTATTTTAGCTTCAGTTACTAGTTGGAACAAGGTTTTTCAGAATTTAACTCCTCTTTGGGCTCAGCTGAAAAATTGTTATTAAAGCCTACTAAAATCTTGAGAAGTACTGGGATCTTTCTCAAGGGAAGTTTCAATACCTGCACTTTATGCTGCAAGAAATATATGGAAAATATTGGATCACCAATATAGTTTTGGTCCTTTACCCATTAAAAATTTAATTAAGATCAACTCTAAATAACTGGTACATCTTTTGTGGAGACATACTCGGTTCCTTAAAACATGATTATCTTAGACGAAAGTAGCTCTGTTAAAGCGGTTTTTAAACTTTATAAAACTTAAGAACTTGATTTACTTCAAAATGCTCCTTGATACCTTATTCAACTTAGCCATTTATTATTTGGACTTGGACTATTTCTGCTTCTGAAAGTCTGTGTCTGTTAAAGAACTTGGAAGAAATAACTGACATTCCCAAACCAGTAAGAAATCAATACTATTTCTATGATTTTCTGACCAGAATGTCCTGTTCTAGCAAAGTAATGACAGATTGTTTTTAAAACTGTAAAATGAGTGTCTTCTGATAAAAATGTGGTTAATACAAGAAGAAAAAAATACTGTTTCTTCTTTACTGGACACCCCAGAGCATATCCAACAATGGTTTGTTATGGTTGTCTTGCTCTGGGAATTATAGTTAAGAGATAAAATATTAAATTCATTACAGATTTGGCATATTCTACTCTTGCCACAGTAAAGGCTGAAATTCACAGAACTGTCAAACTGCCTTTAGGTCAACTGCTGGTTCTGAAATAGAAATTATTTTAATTGTAATTTTTGTTGTGTTTTTTTCTTATATTGCTTTTGTGTGGATTGGTTGTTACACACCCAGAATTAAGATGGGCAGCCATATAAATTATCTAAATAAAAAAATAAATACCCACCCTCTTCTTAGCTATTTTTCCAGTACTTGGAATTTATCAAGGCATCAAAAATTGCAAATCTTTCACATGCAGTGATTCATCAGCACTGGAATTATACAACACTGGAAGGATAAAGCTATGCCTGATTAGTAGAGTGGACTGCTGATATGTGTGTTTGTCAATAATCTGAATTATTCTTTTGTTGAGTGGGGCAAGGCAGAGGACTTTTGATTAAAGTAGTCTAATTTTCTGGAGTTGTTTGGTTTATGATACAAATTTCCAGATTTGTATCCAGATGCTTTTTCATTTTTAACTACTATATAATTTTTGTTGCCAGTAAAACAGTAAGAAGGAATAAAAACAATAAGCAATGCTGGTTCTTATTTAACTTCTGTCACATATCCTTCCGTATGGCAACATTAACTCTTGATGAAACAAATTAGGACTTAGCCATCAATGGGACAGCTACGCACAATATAAAATTGTCTAAAGCTGGCATTTTGATTTAAGGGATTAAATCAAGTCCAAAAGACAATTGCTTCTGACTGTAGTTCTTGAGAACAAGAATCAACAGCCCTCTTTGGCAACCAGAAAGAACACAGGAGGAGAAAAGCCAGATTATCAATGTAACTACCTATAAAATATTTGGAAAAGAGTCTAACGCCCTGCCTACTAGGCCATTAGTTTGCTTGATGTTTTTAAGGATTAGTTCACACCAAGCAGGTATGATGTTCCACAGGATGTTATTCTCAGTCTAACATCAGACATTCCAAAAGGATGTATCCAATGAGAGCTATGATTTTTGACAGCTCTGGCAAGACCAACTGGCAAACTATGAGGGGAAATGCAGCAAGCATTCCAATTAAAAATATTGGGAATGCACTGCAGTCAGAACTCCACTTACCTGTTGGTACTGGGTAGCTGATGTGATGCAGTAGGAGGCCCCAAGGAACCACTGCAGTGCCCGTTGCAGGGATGGGTGCAGCCTACAGGAGGTGGAATCTTCAGCAGTGGCACATTGGCAGTGGGTAAGTGTGGGCTCTTACAAGATCCTGTAGGAGGGGATTCTGCTCCTGGTTTGGGGGCTGGTGCATGTGGACTAAGGGCTGGTGTAGGAAATGGGGCCGCCTGCGGTGAAGAGCTCAAATGAACGTGAGGAGGAGAGCTGTAGGGCCCAGCGTGGGCAGGCATCTGCTTTGCAGGAAGGAGTGCCGGTGGCTGCGAGGGGAGGCCTGTGGGGCTGTTGGGTGGAGCAGTGAGGTCCACATGCCGGTGGTGCTCTGAGGAGTGGAAGGCCTCTCCTGCAGCCAGATGGGAACAAAGTAATGTTAGGTCTAATCCTTCACAGCAGAAACTTTCATGAACTACTGAGAGGATGAAAATACCCAGAGACACTAAGCCCATACATCAAATACACCCCGCCATATACTACTGTTTCCTCCCACAAAATATTTTCCTCCTGTAATATCTCCAAAGGTCTAGGGCTACATACCTAGACATCACAGTAAAATCCAACCCAGCACTGTGATCAGCTATATGCCTTCTCGCACTTGGCATTTTCACAAGTAACAAGTTCTCCAAGACCATTTTAGAAAGTCCAACCCAAGCTCAATGACATACAGGATGCTTCAAGATCTAAGTCCATTCAGTGACCCCAAGAGATGGCCAAAGAAGTCAACCCTGGCTGGTTTGGATCTGTCAGACAAAAGCCCCATATTCAATCAGAAGAAAAAGGCTCTCTGGAGTCCAGGAGGAAGAAAGAGCCTTCAGTGGGGAGCCCAACAATGTGGTGGTGTTTTTTGCCCTGCCAATTGGTCTGTTGGCCTTCCCTAGGCCCTGCATATACAGACCTGGTGGGGTGGGTCTCCGACACATGCTCTTGAACTGCTTGGGAAGTGTTTTGCAGAAGTCGAGTGAGGTAGGCAGAGGTGAGTCTGGGGTGCCGCTGGGAGCTGGGGTGAGCGCGTGGCTGTAAGGACAGGCTTTGAGCCCACCTCCTACAGCAGGGGCCTGGTTGACACACTCCGGAGGGAGGCCGGGGTGCTTGTCACCTGAAACGGAGTCAGAAATGGAGCTGGCTGCTCTCCAGGCCCCTAGGTCACCTCCCCACTTGTGGAACCTTATCTGGGTCCAAGAAAAAGGATGGAGATCGTAGAGTCTCTGGTGATAAGCCTAGTAAGCAGAAGCTTTCCTGTGAGTATTACTTGGCCCCAAGAGAAGACACCTTACCTTCTCTGGACCAGCAGATGTGAACACTTTCTCAATATAGTTGTGCAATATCCATCCCCATAACTAACAACAGCCTCCATGAAGAAGCTATAGGGAGAATTCCACTACCAAAAGGGAGAAGACAATCACTAGATCAGGGCCAACATGAACTCACCTGGTACAACAGGTGTTCCCCCAAGGGAGCTCCCCTGAGCTGCCCCATTTGCATGCTGGGAGTTCCAGAGCCCCGAGAGCTTGTGCGCGGACAGGAAGGAGCTGGGGTCCCAGTCTCCCGAGTTCCCGTGGCACGAAGATGAAGATGATGAAGACGAAGAGGAGTGGGAGCCTGCCCCGCAGGATTGTGACTTACAGGCCGTATGTGACAGTGAGACCTGGGAAGAGAGTTGATGGCTTAAGCAGCCAACTATTCCAATTCATCACCTTTGTTTGGAAAAGCAAGCTACTGACTAACCTATGTGGGAACATAACATTGGACTAATTTTTTCCTACTCAGGCCCTTCATGACAATAGCATAGAAGAGTAAACTGCAGGCTCTTTAGGGAGAGGACAGCCTTGCCTTCAACTGTATTTCCTTTCCTACCACCAAAAAAGAAACAATGATAAAAAAAAAAAAGACCTAAAGCCCTATATCTGTACAAAAAATGTACATCTAACAATATCACAGCTGGCAAATCTCACAGCTTGGAACTCAAAGCAATTAGAATTGTGTTCGTCAAGTTTGAGAATGCCAAAATCCAGACAGACCTTTGATGCAGACATTAACCCTTTGTTACCCAATGACATCTGCCTGGAATGAGCCATGAACCTTCAAATATTTCTGTAGAGTTAAATGCTTACCGCCAGAGCCTGCTCCTGGACTGCTCTTCTTTCTTCCTCTTCTACACTCTGCCTACAACTTTGGCAGATCCACAGTGGCATCTCTCCCAGAAGGTTCTGCACCAATGTTGGTACAAAGTCTGGGGGCAGCCGCTCACCTGGGGATACCAGCCCATTATGGGATGGCCCTCCCCAGTCTTTGCGCTCCCGGTGGCACAGCAAGCAGCACGTCTGCACCGACTGGTTGGAAGTAGGCAGCACCTGCAGCAGAACAACAAAAATATACCAGGGCATGTTGCTAAGAGGAAACATCCAGACAACCATTTTCTCAAGGTACATGCCTACAGTGCTTGCCTGAAGCTCTTAGTGCTAGGGCAGTGCAAAACATTCAAAAGGGTGCTTTGCAAAGTGCATTGGTCTAAATGAAGTGCTCCTCCTCAAAACCCTGAGACAGCCACACCCTCTGGAAGACTCGGTGTGATTGTTTCAAAGGCTTTCTTGGATTGTCTGCACGCAGGCACAGATTGAACTTCCTCTGGATCTGCTGGTGAAACAAGGAGGCTGGGCAAGCAGACAACCTGTGAAACCCTTGAGAAAGTTATGCTGAGTCTTCTGGAGGATGCAACTGCTTCAATGAGTCAAGGACCAATACATGCCAACACATTTTGCAAAGCGCCCCTTCAAATGCCTTGCACAATCCTACTAGTTACCAGTAGCAGATATAGGAGTGGGAGAGAGACAGAACAGCTTGTGATTGTAGAAGAGACATAAGGAACAAGGAGGGCATATCTCTCTTTCCACCAACTTCTGCCTCAGCCTAGTATGCTGCCTCCCCCTTTACCCAATATTTTGAGGGCTATGTCAAAGGCCTCTGGGCTCAGCCTATCCTTTGCTTGATACTTAGTGTGAATGAAGATGGAAGAACAGCTGCAAGACACAAGACAGATATTCTCCTTGCTGCTCCTTTCACTCCTCCCACACAAGAAGACCTAGTCTTCAGCTTCCTGTCTGGGTCTGGGGTGGAAGCTTGGCAACAAATCGGACCCAGTGCTGTGAAAAAAAGGTGAAAAGCATGAAGAGTTAAGGGCAGGGCTGTGTTGCCTCCCACCAAGTGAAAAACCTGGGACAATAGGCTGTGTATTGAATGGCTGTGGCAAAGCAGATGGCCTCTCAGTCCCAAGGTGAGACAAAGTGCACAGAATGCATTAGCGAGAGACAGAAGGCATGCTGGTCTGCGCTTCTCATAACATCTGAAGGAACAGGTGTGCTCAGGGGGCTGGGATGGCCAATCAAAGTGGCAAGAGAAAAAATTTGTATCATACCAAAGACTGGTAACACCAGACCATACCTGATAAATCAATCAGATCCACAGAATAGAAAAAGGCAAAAAACAAAACAAAACAAAAACCCTGTGTATCTATTTGCTAGAAGGCAAGTAATTTTTTCAGCACAAGTTGTCTATTATTCACCTGGATAATCTAACCTATGAGGTTAGCTAACCAAGTTTTGGAGTACTGCCATTAAGAACAGTTGAGTTACAACCATTAAAAATGTTGCACTAAAGACAGCTGTAAACTTCTTTTGTACCCAACTGGCTAATCTCAGGCTAATCTAAACTAGCTTTTCTCAGGTAGGATTAAATTTTCCACAATTCCCAGAAGACTCAACACATCTGAAGAACATCAGGTTGGGGAAGGGTCATCTATTAAATATTCAAGGGTATTTTGATTAAAATCAATACCCCATATTTACCTGAATTTAAGATAATATCCCACATAATTAAAAAGAAAAATGAGAGAAGAAAAATCTGCCTCCATGATTGTATTTCTCAGAGAATTATTTTCCCTTTTTAAAGATACATTGCAGAAAAATTCCTTTAATAAATATAGTATTTATTCCAAAAGTTTTAAAATCAGCCTAGCCTACAGGTCTTCCATCACTAGTAGATAATTACTACCACTTTTCACTACCCTATTTTGCTTATGCTTCACAAACAATTAGTAAAAGTAAAGCATTGGTTATATAATACAAAGCAATACTGGCTATAGATTTCACCAAGCTTTAGCTTTCAGGTATACTGCCTTGCTCTCTTGTCATTAGAGTTTTTCCGAAAGCTGTATGGAACCCTATCCATCTTCCCTGGTAAATGATGTGAATGTCTATTCTACAGCATTTCTACCCTGCTTTTAGTGAGCTTTCCATTCATTAAGCAATTAGGAGCTTGATGAACCTCTTTCATCTTGTTAATTTATTTATTAATTAAATTATTAACTTGATTATTTTTCCTCTATTAGGCCTCAAATGAAGCTAAGTAGCACCAACTAAACAGTTGTTTTGTCACAGGTCTGATTCAAATATTCACTGTGCACTTGTATTTACTGTACAGGATTCTATCCAAAGTTCTGTACTACATGTGAGAATGCTAACTCTGAAGCCTTCTGCTGAAAGTGGCAGAGAGCCACTGAAATGGGCTAGGATGTGTTTATATATAGGCAGCCTAGATTATGTACAGTCATACTTCAAAATCAGAGCTGCTGCTCTTTTTCCACACACACAGCTTGAACTGAGCACTCCCCTATCTTTGCAACTCTTCAGACAGACATCTAATCAGCATATCCAGTTCTGACTCAGTACTCTATTTTGCCTCTTCCTGGTTCAAACAGGCTGTCTAATTTTAAAGAAAACATTCTTAAACACAGAAATCACAATCTGTAAGAGCCCTATTTGTAGATGATGATGATGACGATATAATTAAAAAACTATAAAAGTTGATGAAGGAAGTGATAATGATATCACAGGGATCAGCCGATCAGTACTTTCTACAGCTAGCCTCTGTAGAAAAAGGAAATGTTAGTTTCCACAAAGATAGATTCTGAAGGGAAGTTTCCATGCACGTATAAAACATTAATGATACAGTATTGTATTGTAAGACCAAGACCATCCCTTGTGCTTTGAAGGTGAAAGTAAAATAAGCCCCAACGGACCCAGCCCCTGCTCCCATCCACACATACTAGTCATGCATGCAAAGGGCATCTAAGTTTTATCAATTAAATCATCTAAAATTCCTCCACACAAGAGGAATCTGGGCTAATCAAGATATCCCCTTATACAGAAGAGTTCTGCACACATACACTGGCATACATGACAATGCCTCATGTCTGCTGAGTGCATCAGCAATGGAAAGATGCAAGGTTAGACCTCACCTCCCCATGGCCACTTCTTGCTTTCTTTGAATGAGAACTTTTGTCTCCATCGCCCCATGCCCCTTGCATTTATTTATTTATTTATGCAATTTATCTACTGCCTTAATCCTAGTGGACTCTAGGCAGTCTACAAATATTAGAATAACAGCAACAAATAATATACTATATTAAATTATTAAAACTACCATAAGGGTGTAGAAAGCACTATGTCCATGTAACATCACCAGTCATATATTTATACACAACCCCAGATTTAAAGACCTATTCATCTCTGAAGTTTCTTGTCTTCACTCTTTACTCTCCTTTTGCCTCATTGTTGAGGACAGCATAATTCCATATATGTTACTTTGAGGCTTTGAAGAAAGGGCAGGACAAAAATGAGAGAATAAGTTCATACACTATTTTTTCATAAGCAATCCTTCCCTGTAAAAAGGAGGTAGTATGGTTCCCAGGACTGATGAAATGTAGGTGAAGATCTTTATACTGGATCCTGCTTTAATTCAGAAAGAAATTCAATTGACATTACTAAAAGACATGCATGGTATGTCTCAGAATGGACCGCTCTGTTAAAAAATTATCTGAAGCTTGATCACATCATGGCTGGTGCCTCAGTTTCAAAGAAATGAATCATTAACAACGTGTGTTAGGTTATGTTCTCCCCACTGACTATGCAGTAAGCAAATTTCTTACTTTTTCCGTATTTCTCCATTTTGCTAGAGATTCATCAGTCAGATCCAACATCTGGCACTTTTCTAAACAATGAGACACTTTGCTTCCACATTAGCCTGTTTTTAGCTGATTACATTCAGTGCTGTCAAATATTCACAGTGTTCAATGTCTTTCTAACTCATTTCTCAATGGGCAGAGTAATACTCCATTATATAAAAGACCTCCTATTAAAGTTTTGCTCCTATTAAAAATATCAGAATTGCTCCTATTAGTTAGGCTTTCTTAGAAGATGCATAACATCTGTATATTGTCACATCATACTACTCTCTCAATATGATGATGAATGCTAGCAAACCAGAGGGGCTAACCAACTGAAGATAATAGTAAGTACCCTACCCCCATACTCAAGAATCTTTTCTGTTAATTATTCATTTTTGTATAGCCAACAGCTATCTTGCTATCCAACTTTATTTTATTTATTTTATTTATTGGATTTCTCCCCCGCCCATCTCCCCCACAATAGGGGACTCTGCGCGACTTACAAAAAACATTATAACTATAAATACATCTAAAACACATAAAACATCCAAAATTTAAAACAATACTAAAAAAAGGAAGATCCAAGCAGATGGAAAATGGAAAACTTCCTGTCATTTGTAGACATATTTGATATGGGTTTACTTTAAACCACTGATTCACTGGGAGCTTACTTCCAGTCCCTGCATGCAGCTTTGAGCATTTAAAACTAACCAATCCAGTTTCAAACCTTAATCTCTACATGCCATTTTATTTTGGACCTCAAATCCACAATGTAGGCTTTGTGACAATTATTTTACACAAAAGCTATTGCAAAGTATTCTAGTTCTTCCATCATTCAGCCATCTCTCCCAACATCATTAAGACACATACGATGACTATTTTGAAGAACCTTGTCTATTTGAGAAGCCTTTCCAATTTGCAACAAAACATATAAATAACAGTTCATCCTCAGAAAATAAACATTTATCACCCATGTTACCTGTAACCCGTAAAGGTGAATTAAGATTATGGAAGAGACTTTGGCAAATAGCACATGCAAAGGAAATGCCATAAGAAAAACTGTGTTGATGTAAATACGTTTTAAATCAACTCTAGGTTTATTTTTGCCAACCCTAAATTTAAACAGAAAACACTGTTTTCTTATTTTATATTTTATAAAATGAAAATAATTGGTATTAATTAGTCTCAGCAGAGACAACATTTTGAAAGAAAACAACCCTCTCATATTTATTATTTAAACTGGTTCCACACAATATATTAGATCAAAAAATACATCACTGAAAAGGCAAAATTCTAATTAGAATCAGTGATTTCAATTACATTCTTTCTTGGTCCTGTATCCAACCAGCA